TGTGAGCGTTGAATCAAAGACCACACCAAGCCGCCTCGCTGCAGGGTTGACAGGTTGACCAGGTTTGGAGGAGCTGAGCAGTGGGATGGGTCCTCTCCCTCTCTTCCAACTTCTTCCACCTGGTTTTAATTGTCCAGCTTAAGAGGGCATGGGACTCATTCTCTCAGCCAATGAGAATCCAGCAATTCAGTTCAGGGAGAGGAAGCAATTACCAGCAGATTATCAGGATGAGTTGAGTAAAAGAAAAACATGCTCAATCCAAAACACCAAATGTTAAATAAAGAACCCAAAATACAAAAAAGATAAAATACAATCCACAACAATCAGATAAACTTTGCAATGGTCTGTGACACTAACAGTACTGCTAACAATACTGCTAACAACACTAACAATACTGCTAACAATACTGCTAACAATACTGCTAACAATACTGCTAACAACACTAACAATACTGCTAACAATACAAACAGTACTGCTAACAACACTGCTAACAACACTGCTAACAACACTAACTGAGACCAGCCTTTATCTTCTTTTTGCTCAGTAGTAGTTTTCATCTTGGAGCCCTGCCATGTGATCCATTTCTGACCAGAACCTTTCTTCTGGTGGATGAACACTGACCTTAACTGAGCCAGTGAGGCCTGCAGGTCTTGATGAGTCAGCACTACACTCCTGGGAAGGTTCACTGGTCAAAGATGAGTCCTGGTAACATTTTTAATGTGGGGTTAAAAGATATATCCTGATCAAAAATAACATAAATATTTATCCTAACAGATAGCCAAGCTTCTATTAGAGCTCGGTAAGGCCCACACAAACATCATTACTGGTTTGGGAGTGTGTGAAGCAGTCAACTGGGAGAGATAACAGTGTTACTGTTCAATGGGTACCAGGACATACTGGCATTAATGGTAACCAGTGAGCTGACTACCGTACAAAAGCTGGCAGTCAGGCTCACTTCAAAGGACCAGAGCCTATCTCAACAAGAGTCTGCCCCACAGGCCTGGGTTAGACCCACTGGAGGTAGTGCTGTACTACTTGAGACCGATCTTGGTCTTAAGACCAGTCTCAAGAACACTTTTTGTTGGTCTTTTGATCTTAGTCTTGTCTCTGACTCAGAATTTTACTTCAAGACCAGTCTCAAGACCACAGCTGTGGAAATATTCATTTTATTGTCCACTTTAATTGTTATCTTTTCTTTCATTGACTCATTGCTATTCATGTATTTTTGTTATGGGCTGTCCCCCCCCGTATCTATGGCCCCTGTTCTTATGGGTTCTTTATCCATCCCCACCATACCATCCAGCTAAGGACAGTGATGTTCCTGCTGTAGACCCTAGTGGTGTGGATCAGTGAGTCAAAGTCTGGCTCACTCTTAGCATACAGCTTGATGTCATCCATGTAGAAGAGACGACTGATAATCCACGAGTCTGTGTCCACAGCCAGTCCTGTTGATTTTATGTCTGAGGGGGTTCAGGCCTGTAGAGCAGCAGTGGGAACAGAGCATCTCATGGGTATATTCCATATTGGCCTCAAGTGTGTTTTTCCACAGCCTCATGGAGTTTGAAGGCTCTCAGAGAGTTGACATTGTACAGTTTCAGGTTTCCAGGATCCATGTGTGGCATTGAGTCGTAGGTTTTCTTTGAATCAACCCAGTCACTGTTGACTGTTGTGTCAACCAGCAGCTGGGTCATGGGTCATGTACTGATCCATGTTCCTGCTGATCTTAGCTGCTGTGAAGAAGCCTGTCATATTTAATACATGTGTAATAAACATATCTAAACTTATACAGAACTTTGTCAAGTCCCATGGAGACCCCAGAGTGCTTTACACTACTCACTGATAAGCTACACTGTAGCCACAGCTACCCTTAACATGCGTCTCTTCTTGCTAATGTTCTAATGAGCAGGGCTTTTATTTTGAAATGTTATTTATGCACTTTATTTTGAAAACCAAAAATAAAACCTTGTTCAGCTTTTGTAAATTAGCCTAGAACAGGGCTAGCCTATTGGTTCATTCATCTCTGAAGTCCAAACCCCTGGTTTTCTACTTTAATTACTGTAAGTTCCTTTAGTTAAACAGACATGTTTGGTGTCTACACAAACATCACAATCTTGGCTACAAGCTGGTAAAAACATTTCTATGAACATCCAAGACAGTTAAAACTACACGCAGTTGAAGATAAAATGAACGTGAAAATAAAATTGGTTTAAAAGTTTGGCAAGTTAGATATGTTAAAATAAGTTAAACAGGAGGCATAGTGTGTTCTCGTGTACTGGTTTTACTGGACTTCAGCGTTTGACACTGTGGATCACTGTGTTCTTAACAGACTGAGAGGTAATGTTGGTATTTCTGGCTCTGTGTTAAACTGGTTCACCTCTTATTTATCTGAACGGTCTTTTACTGTTTTTATGAATCAGGTTTACTCTGATGTTGCACCACTGTCTTGTGGGGTACCCCAAGGTTCAGTTTTGGGCCCAATCCTGTTTTTATTGTACCTGTACCCTTTAGGAGGTATTTTAAAACGTTACAGTAATGTGTCCTACCATCTGTATGCTGATGACATACAGTTGTACTGTTCCTTTAGACCCTCTGAGTTCTTCAAACTATCTGAACTCAGTAACTGTCTGTCAGAAGTCAAAACATGGCTGAACAACAACTACCCGTTTTTATCATTTAAGGAACATTTCAAAGCTGAGATGGTTGTTCACGCTTTTCTCGTTTAAATTAGATTAGTTTATGTATCCGTGATCTGTTTTGTTTTTAACTATGTTTGCTTTCTGTGAAGCACTTTGTGATGTTTGTGTCTGTGAAAGGTGCTATAGAAATAAAGTTTACGTTGTTTTTGATTTTAATGATTAAATGCAGTAAATTAAAAAGGTAGACTTGGTAATACTTGATTTACATAATTTTAATTTGGCCCCCGAGCTGTTGACCTGCAGTAAGTGAGGCCCTCGGAGCAGTTTATAGCCCTGCTCTATGTGAAAGCTTTGATCTGTGATGTCATACGGTAAGTAAGGTTCAGTTTGCTCTACACTCCGTGGTTTAACCTCCCATCCAGATCAGTCCTGTCATGACTTCAGACATGTTCACAGGTTAAATCTATTTTAGGTTTTTGTTCTATTGCCTACAGAAGTTTCCAAAACCTTCAAAAAGTGAAAATATGAAATCGCCCCACTGGTCTGACAGTTTCAGACATCAGCCTGGTCGACTCGACTGGATTCAAATGAACTGTATTTGGACTGAACCTGGCTCCATGAGGTGAACAGTCACCAGCTGAGCGCTTTATTTCAGGTTTAATCTTTTCCTCCTTATTTATAGTCTTTTTGCTGTAGTTTAATCGTTTGTAGTTAAAGCTTTTGTAAATTGTTGTATTGTTTCTATGTTGGCACTGATTGTTTTAAAATGAAAGATGTAAAAAAAGTTTGTTAAATTTTAGTGGTCATGTTTCTCAGCCCCGTGTTCTGACCCGTCTGGAACATTTTAATGGAAACACAACGGCTCTGAAGAACCAGTTAATTCTGTTTCACACAAACCAAACACTGCAGTCACAGGAAACATTAACACTTTATTTAAGGATCAACACAATTACAACATTACACAAACATTAAAAACATGACTGCTGACCACACTGCAGGCTGCCCATGAGCAAGGCATTATGGGAAACGGTCTGCACAGGACACCTCCCACTGAGGTCAGCTGACAAACAGATTCTTAAAACTACTAAACTTTATTCAGAATAAGGTTAAAATAAGAGTTCTCTAAATGCACCCCACCTTTACCAAGCCCCGCCCCTTTACACAAGCTCCTGCAGAGCAGATGTCAGTGTGGGCGGAGCCTGTGAGCGGTGAGGTCACAGGAAGGCAGCGGTGACTGTGATCATCATTATGTGCATCAGTAAAGTGACTTGAAGAGGAAGGACGGTGGTCTTCATCACATCTGCAAACAGGAAGCAGACATCAGACAGGAAGTAGTTCAGGTGAGTGACAGGAAGCAGGAACTCACCTGGACAGCAGGTCGGAGCAGCCATTTGTCTTTGTCTCCGCCCACTTTCATACAGGAGAAGAGCTCACAGACAGCAGGAAACCCCAAACGCTCCTGAACAGGAAGTGACGTGTCAGCACACAGGAAGTGACTGACCAGGTGGGAGGGGTCTGAGCTCACCTGGGCCTGAGTCCTCTTCTTCACCAGCCACTTGTCAGCCTCCTCCTCCTGGGGGGAACAGGTGGGACCCTCAGAGGTGGGGGCAGACCCAGGCAGGACCCACAGGTCTGGTTTCAGAGGATGCTGGAAGGGGGACAGGAACTGGCTGTTGTGGACTCTCAGGGTCTCATCTGGACCGACCTGGTCTGTGAGGGCGGAGCCTCTGCAGGTGCTGGGGTGGAGCCAGGCCTCCAGGATGGCCTGAACCTGCAGAAGAGTCCTTGTTAACGACCTCTACATGTACTGTACGTGAGGAGCTGAGACTCCGCCTCTTACCTTCTGCTCCTGGTCTCTGTGGCAGGAAGTGGGCGGAGCATTCTTGGTGAGGGGGACTCCGTTCTTGTCCCTCCTCTCCTGCTGCAGCAGCCAGCGGCTCAGCGCCTCCTTGCCACAGTTCTGGTCACAGACGCAGTCTGCGTAGGAGGAGCACGGCTCGTTGGCCCTGCAGGTGTGCTGCAGCGGGGCCACCTGCTGAAGCCACGCCTCCAGAGTGGCTGAGGAGGTGGGCGGGGTCTTCAGGCACTTCAGCTCGCCCAGGTTCTCGATCTCCATGGCCTTGGTGGTCTGACAGCAGGAGGAGCAGTCTGCAGGGGAGCGCTCTGCCTCCAGCAGCCACTCACTGGAGGACCAGGACTCCTGGAAGGGCTTCAGGACCTGCTGCCAGCGCTCGCTGTCCGTTTCTGAGCCAGTGGGCGGAGCTATGAGCCAGTCGCTAAGCTCCTCCTCCTCTGTGATGAACTCCGACTCATCGATCTTCTCGATGGAGAAGTTGGAGCTGCAGCTGCTGCTGGTCCGCTCCCTGCTCAGCTGGTTCTGGTCCTTCAGGAGCCACGCCTCCAGGTCTCTGAGCTGACCCCAGGCCTGGAAGAAGTCCAGAGAGGCCAGGACCGGACAGGAGGTCTGCAAGAGTCAGACAGGACTTCAGAACCAGGTCCAAACAGGTCCCTGTAAACCAGTACACCCCCCCCCCCTCCAACAAACAGGTCCCTACAGCACTGAGAGTCCCAGGAGAGAACTGGGACCAGATCCTCAGGTCTGGGGGTCTCTAAGCTCACCTTGCTGTCCTTGTGGGCCAGCAGCCAATCCTGAGGGTTGTCACTGGACTGCCAGCCAATCAGAGGGCTGCTGCTGGCTGGGCTGCTCCCCAGCAGCCACTGGCTCAGAGCTGCTGACTCACACTTCTGCAGACAGAACCAGAACCAGGACCAGTCAAGACTCAGCAGAACCACCAACAACATGAAGGAAACTCCAACTCACCTGTTTGTCTAACGGACAAGTCTGCACCTGAGAGCTGCAGGGGGCGGAGCTCTGACAGGACACGCCCTCCACCAGCTGCCAACAGAACAGACCCCAGGTCAGACCCCAGAACAGACCCCGGTCAGACCCCGAACAGACCCCGAACAGACAGGCGAGTTACCTGAGCGGTGATGCTGCCGAAGGAGGTGATGGCCCGTCTCAGGGAGTGAGAGTCAGCCTGGAAGCTGAGCTCAGGGGTCTCCTCGGGGGTCAGGCTGAGACAGGACAACCTGCAGACACACAAACTGTTGGTTCTGGTCCTGGCTGTGCTCGACCCAACAGAACAGGTCTTACCTGTCCATGCAGGCGGTCAGCTGGTTGTTCAGGTCGTTGCAGCTGCTGCTCTGCAGCTGGGTGGACATCATGTCGAACTGGCCCCAGAGCCGGTGCAGCTGGTGCAGCTGGTGCTGCAGGGTCTCGGTCTTCACCTGCTCCAGGAGCTCGATCTGACCCAGGAGCCACACCTCCCTGCAGCGCAGCGCCTCCTGCTGTCGACTCACACAGCTCTGCAGCTCAGAGCGCACCTGCAGGGAGCAGAACCAGCAACAGGTAGACCTGACCACATCTGGACCCAGACCCACATCCAGACCCCGACTGGCCCCAAAACTACTGAAACTGCAGTAAAGCAGGTCCTGGTCTCAGACCCTGGACCACAGACCAGAACCCAGCTCTCCTCATCAGGACCTGACCTGTTCCTGCTGGGTCCAGTAGATCCAGACCCAACAACCTGCTGGTCCCCCACACCAGAACTAAGAATCTACTCACCTAAAAGCCTGCAGGTCCAACAGAGTCCAGAGTCCTGCAGCTGGTTCTGTCTGTTATATAGTCTGAGCTCCACCCCCAGGCTGACTCACCCCCCCCACCTGGTGTTGGTGGTTCTGGTCTCTGGACCACAAACCCACCATGACTCAGCCATGTTTTCAGACAACAGAACCAGATCCTTCAGTTCTACAGAGGATCAGTCTGAGGTCCAGGTTCTGTCACCATGTGCAACAACAACAACATGACCTGAGTCCTACAGTGACTACAAATACTGTACGGGTATCTGTACTTTATTTTTCAGCGTACTTTTTACTTTTACTCATTACATTTTTACACAGTTATCTGTACTTTCTACTCACTACATTT